AGGCGCAAGGCAAGACCCGCTGCTGGGGGCGGGCTTTGCCTTGCAGCCTGGACCCGCTGATGGGCGGTTCCTGAGCCTCAAGGCAAGACCCGCTGCTGGGGGCGGGCTTTGCCTTGCAGCCTGGACCCGCTGATGGGCGGTTCCTGAGCCTCAAGGCAAGACCCGCTGCTGGGGGCGGGCTTTGCCTTGCAGCCTGGACCCGCTGATGGGCGGTTCCTGAGCCTCAAGGCAAGACCCGCTGCTGGGGGCAGGCTTGGCCTTGCAGCCCGACCCACTGATGGGGGTCCCCACTGGGTTGCCTGGCCATTCTGGGTGAGGGGCTGAGGGCCGTTTTCAGGCTGGTGGGTGACTGAAGCTCCCAACCTCTCCTTTTTTTCTTTTTTTTTTTATTCTTGGATTTATTTACCTTCTATGGCTGTCACTGGAACTGAGAGCCCTTTGCCTTGCAGCCTGGACCCGCTGATGGGCGGTTCCTGAGCCTCAAGGCAAGACCCGCTGCTGGGGGCAGGCTTGGCCTTGCAGCCCGACCCACTGATGGGGGTCCCCACTGGGTTGCCTGGCCATTCTGGGTGAGGGGCTGAGAGCCGTTTTCAGGCTGGTGGGTGACTGAAGCTCCCAACCTCTCCTTTTTTTCTTTTTTTTTTTATTCTTGGATTTATTTACCTTCTATGGCTATCACTGGAGCTGAGAGCCGGCTTTAGCTCTGAGGCTCGACTCCAGCTCTGAGACCTCAGCTGCTGAAAGCAGGTATCTGGGCTTTGATTAGCTTCTATAATTGAAACACTGTTGCAACTCCAGCTCTGAGGCCCGGCTGGCTGAAAGAAGGTTTCTGGGGATTGTTTAGCTTCTATAATTGCAACATAGTTGCTTAGAGTGCAGCTCAGAGCTGGGTGGCGGCAGGCGGGGAACGTTGGCTTCCTCCATCACTGGAGCAAGCAAGCCTCCTGTTTGCTTCAGCCTGCCTGGCTCCGACCGCCATCTTTGTTGGCAGTTAATTTGCATATCGCCCTGATTAGCCAATGGGAAGTGTGTCGGAAGTACGGTTAATTACCATGTTTGTCTATTATTAGACAGGATACTTGCTAATGTTTTTCGAATTAAAAACAAAACAAAACAGTTTCTCCTTATATATTATGCCTTTACAATGTGCCAGGCATTGTGCTAGTTTACATAAATTATTTCTAGTTCTCACATAACCATAGCAGGCAAGTATCAGCCTTCTTTTACAAGTGAGAAACTCAAGTTCAGAATGACTGAAGAATTCTTCCCCAAGTCACACAAGATGACAGGCATGCCAATTCCTGTGTTCAGATGTGAACCCAGGTGTGTCTCCAGAGCCCAGGCACAGGTTTTCCCACTATGCTATGCTGCCTCCCACTGAATATGTGCTGCTACAGCTGCTACACAAAGGAATTGAGCACAACTCAATCTGCTGAATAAATTTATGGAAAGTATCAAAACTAGTGAAGCTTAGGATTTTTTTAAAAGCTTGGAATTGACTGAAAAAACCAAAGTTTGTTTCATTAGAACTCCATAATTTAATCTGACCATTCTTTTATATAATAACTAGAGGCCCGGCGCATGAAATTCATGCACGGGTGGGGTCCCTAGGCCTGGCCGGCGATCAGGGCCTATAAGGGTCGTCTCGTCCAGTCCCAATCGGGGCCAGGCTGGCCGGGGCCTGCTGGATGGGGCATGCCGAACGGGGGAAGAGACTGGGGGAGGGACCACAGGAGGTTTGTCGGACGGGGGGATAGAAGGGGGGAGGTTGGCTGGCCGTGGAAGGTTGGCTGTGGGAGCACACTGACCACCAGGGGGAAGCTCCTTCGGTGAGCGTTTGCCCCCTGGTGGTCAGGGCGCGTCATAGCAACTGGTTGACCAGTCGTTCAGTCGTAACAGTCGCTTAGGCTTTTATATATATAGACTAGAGGCCCAGCATGTGAAATCGCGCCGGTCACTATGGCCACAGGCCTTTTATAATATGGACTAGAGGCCCAATGCACGAAATTCATGCAAGGGGCTCAGCCCTCACAGCCGAGGTGGCTTGCCTTGGCCCTCACAGCCCCGGCTTGTTCCGGAATGTCATCCGGAAGGTCATTCAGCTGTCCAGTCTAATTAGCATTATTACGCTTTCATTATTATAGATAGATTATAATCTATTCATACGTAAAGTTATTATTTTAATTCTTTAACTTTCAACTTTCATAAATCTAGCAATCACTCATATATAATATTATAGTTTTAAAATATAAATCACCTAAGTATGGCTCATTACCAAAGTTCCAAATGACATATTTAAACTTAAGAAGTTAATATGAATAGCCATCACTGATTTACAGCACACCAATTCCAAACAGGGAACATTGCCTAGCCCATAATAGGTGCATAAATATTTGCCAGTGAATAACCTGCTTAGTCAACCTTCTCCTATCACCACCTCCTGCTGCTTACCGGCTGATTGCCCCTAATTCCTGGTAGCTGAGGTTCCAAGAACAAGAATGTAGTACTTTTAACAGGATGTCAAATCCTAGGCCACCTGAATTATCAATGTGAAGTTAGAGTATAGTAGTGTTCTTTAAGACATTAATTACTTTTCACACTTAAGAGGCAATGTAAATGTCTATAATAGAAATAAAATGTATTCCAATTTTTAAACCTTATTAAAAATTACACTTACCTTTCCACAATCCATTCTGGCCGAATTACTTTTTCCCCCTTCAATTCTTTAATTTTGGCAGTAGGAAGATTTGTGGCAATAATGTGTGTTGTTTTGGACCTGGAATAATACACATGGTACTGTCCTCCATGCAACATCATTAGCTTTCTCAATTCCTCAGCAGAAGGATCTGTAAAGTTAATATTAAAATATATTATGAGGTTTATATATAAGAAAGTAGAGTCCTAGCTGAATAATCCCTAGAACAAGCCATTCAGAGAGTATATGACTGGTTCACTTTCTCCTTGGCTGTGTTGCCAGTAAACAAAGTTGGGAGGTAAATCACAAGGTGATAAAGCTATTTTGCCTTAGCACATCCTCTTCCCCTGGTTGCTAGAGACGGTCAATCAACACAAAAACATCTACTGCTAAGAGGTGCCTAGAAGAGCAAATAGGGACCTCACGTAATGAATCAAATAATAATAGAGCAAATATTTTTAAACTTTTGATCACATTTAGCTGTATGACCTTGATATTGGAATCTTTTGTTTTTTTAAAAACTGACAGCTATAAAGTCATTTATGAATCAATTTATAGAGATTCCAATTAATCTTACAGCTCTTTCAGAACACAGCAGGTCCTCGAATAGCAACATTTTGTTATTGCATTAATGAGATGCCATAAGAACTGAAATTTCGTTTATATCAATCAGCACATTATAAAATTGGTTATATGTCATTTCACTGAAAGTCAACAGAACCTATTGATTACATTCAGTGATGACTTACTATAATACAAGTCAGCTATACAGAAGATAAATTAAACACTGCAGACCAAGAAACAGTGCATATTTTTCAACTGTTTCAAAATATTTTATTCTCAATACAACTATTAAAAATATCTTAAAACAAAAATCAATGTAGTTTATGTTTTCCTATTAAAAAAAATGTCTGACTCACTACAGTCTGTTATAGTGGGCATTTAATACTAGCAATTAAACTAATTATTTTCAATAGCTTTTCTATTTCTTTCACCTATTATCTTAATGAAAGCTCTAAATCACACCTCCCCTAACAACAGCTGTGCCCCGGGTGGTGGTGTGTAGGGGAGGGCGGGGCGGGGGGGGGGCAGCCACAGGAGGCTTATGTATCTACTTTGTTGTTCAAGCAACAGATTTTCCGTAAGCCCAAACAATATAGGTCCAAGTATTTAGGTGAACACCTTTTTTTTTAATATATATATGTGTGTGTGTGTGTGTGTGTGTGTGTGTGTGTGTGTGTATTTATTTATTTGAGAGAGGGAGGGAGAGGGAGAGATAGAAACATCAGTGATGAGAAAGAATCATTGATCGACTGCCTCCTGCATGTCGGGCCCGCAACCCGGATGTGTGCCCTGACTGGGAATGGAACTGTATGTTTCCTTATATATAGGATAATAATATTCCCCTTGTGGAAATGTTGTGAGGATTCCAAATAATAGATGTAGAGGGCTGGCATTTCCTAAGCATTCAACAGATGTGATTGTTACTGTTCTCTCCTGCCCCTAACATCAAATGATGAGAGAGAATCATCGATCAGTTGCCTCCTGCACGCTCCCCCACTGGGGAACGAGCCCACAACCCAGGCATGTGCCCTTGACCGGATTCGAACTCGGGACCCTTCAGTCCACAGGAGAACACTCTATCCACCGAGCCAAACCCACGAGGGTTAGATGAAGACTTTTATTATAACTATCTAATTAGATGAGTTTTAGACTTGAGAAAAATTTAAAAACTAAAAAAGCAAATACAGATATGCCAGGTTTAATTCATGGTAAATTCTACTGTGTAGAATTCATTTCATGTTACTGACCACACATACTGACATTGCCTGATAAGTGCAAGCCACATATATTAAGATTTCTAAAAAATATATATATATATTTTAGTACCCTCAGTAAAATCATGAAATCATTTTAATAATACTTAATTTAACCCAATAGTTCCAAAACATTATCACTTCACTGTGTAATCAATATAAAAAATTGGGATATTTCATATTTTTTTCATACTGAGCCTCCAGAATCAAGTGTACATTTTCTATTTACAGCACATCTCAATTTAGACTAACCTCATTTCAAGTATTGTTTTTTTTAAAACAATATATTTTATTGATTTTTTTTTTTTACAGAGAGGAAGGGAGAGGGATAGAGAGTTAGAAACAATGATGAGAGAGAAACATCGATCAGCTGCCTCCTGCACACTCCCTACTGGGGATGTGCCCGCAACCAAGGTACATGCCCTTGACCAGAATCGAACCTGGGACCCTTGAGTCTGCAGGCCGACGCTCTATCCACTGAGCCAAATCGGTTAGGGCTATTTCAAGTGTTTAAAACATGTGGCTAAAGGCTACCAAATTGAACATTGCACTAGAAAAATAAATGAGAACAATGTTTAAATAAAATTAGTTCAAAATTCATAATCGAAGATTTTCAGGGGTTGGGATCACAAAAACCAAGCTAGAGCATCACAATGATTTAATGAAAAATGGTGAAAATTAAGTAGCTAGTCAGTCAGAAATTTATAGTTTACTTAGTTTTTTTTCCTAAGATCAAAGAACTTGGCTCACCTTATTAATACCAAATTAAAGGACAGATACAATGCAATTATATGGACAGACACCAAATCCAATAAAAAGCACAGAAATGTAAAAAAATCTTCTTACAAATTAATCTATACTTTTTCTAAACCAACTGTATTAAATGACTGAAACAGCAGGGGGCTGCCAGGAACATATTGTCTTTGCATACACATGCTTGAAACACACTCTTCCCTCTACTAGTTGCTCTTTGAAATCTAATTACTACATTAATTTGAAACTGGAAAACCTGGAGAGTTCATTGTCCTTGTTTTTTTCATTGTTCTTTTATGGGATGAAGTTAAGGGGGCTCATTAAAGTTCAATTTTGAAGACTCTCAAATATTCTTCAGTGTGAGTGAACCATGAAACCAATCTATTAAAGGTAAGTGCACATAAACTATGTGACCTGGGCTTACTCTTGGCTTTAACATGCTTTACTGTGTGACTCTGGACAAGTACCAGACTCCTTTAAGCTTTCTCCCCTTTCTTTAAAAATAAACAAGGAAGGCCATAATGATGAATTAAGTCTGGCACATAGAAGTACTCAATATAAAAACTGCTATTATTATAAAGTATAAAGACATCAGAACTCCTTTCAAGTAATGTATATGCCTTGAGACTCTTGCCCTAAACCAGCCGTGGGCAAACTACGGCCCGAGGGCCGGATCCGGCCCGTTTGAAATGAATAAAACTAAAAAAAAAAAAAGACCGTACCCTTTTATGTAATGATGTTTACTTTGAATTTATATTAGTTCACACAAACACTCCATCCATGCTTTTGTTCCGGCCCTCCGGTCCAGTTTAAGAACCCATTGTGGCCCTCGAGTCAAAAAGTTTGCCCACCCCTGCCCTAAACTCTACAAAAAATGGTGGAAGAAGACAATACATATGCTGACACATGGTGGCTCGAACTTGCAAACAAAACTGGAACTACCCATAGCGCACGATGGACAGCAGCCAGGAACCACTCCATCAACCCAAACAGCCTGATATGCAGCTGGTGGCCACCCTCATTAAGATTGTTTTTTGAAACTTTTAAAATAGTATTTCTCTTTGACTCTATTTCTTCAGCAACCGAACATACTCCCAAATTATAAGTTCAAAAGAATATAAATAATAGCTCTAAACATTTGCATAATAAATTTAACACCCTTCTTTAATTCAGCAGATGTGTGTTAATTAGAGAAAAATGTTTATGAGATAGTATTCAACAGTATGAAATCTATATGACACTAAAAGTTGTGTGACGGCCAAGCCGGTGTGGCTCAGTGATTGAGAGTCGACCTCTGAACCACAAAGTCACAGTTCGATTCCCAGTCAGGGCACATGCCCAGGTTGCGGGCTCGATGTGCAGAAGGTAGCTGATTATTGATTTTATCTCATCATTAATGTTTCTATCTCTTTCCCTCTCCTTTCCTCCCTGAAATAAAAAAAAACAAAACATTTTTTTAAAGTTGTGTGACATACACAAGGGACCCTATCCCTGCAATCTACTACACCAGTTACTTTTCTTCATAGTACTGATAATCTAAAATTACCTTGTCTATTCATTTACTTATTGTCAGATTTCACCCCAGAACATATGCTCCTTGAGGACAGGAACCTTGTCTGTCTTACTTCCATGTATCTGGCACAAAGCAGGTGCTCAGTAAGTATCTATTGAATTCACTGAGATCCACAATGCTTCACAGACTCTCGCCTGAAATATTTACTCAGTCTCTTAACCCCTAGAGTGCCGGGGAGTGCAATCGCGCTCCTCCTGTCCTTCACCAAAAGTGCCGGGAGCGGGAGCGCTATCGCGCTTCTCCTGCAGTGTTACTATTAGATGCTAGTAGTTCACTCTTTATTGACAAATGGCACCTAAGTCCAGATTACTTATGATGCCGAATGTTTGTAGTTCTAAAATTGACCACTGGCATTTATCTGCCTAATTTTTTACAGGTACTACGATTTTATGAAGTTTACTCAGATTTTGTAGCCCTAAAGCTTCGAAATGGCGTCCAGTTCTAAGTCTGCTTTTATTAGTGATGATGATATTGCTAAATATGTCAATTCTTGCTGTGAAGATGACGATTTTGTGGAAGATATTGGAGAAGGGTGTCCCTCTATTTTAACATTATATGTTTTGTTTAAATTTTTTTTTCTACTAGTATTTTATAATACAATCAGCAAACAATATATGTCAAAGATGAAAACAAATGTAGTAAAGGTTTCCTTAAGTTTTTGAATATGTAACTTCATTTACTTGCGATTCATAATTTTTTTCCTAAACTGCTGTAAAATCAGCAAAAATGCCTTGGCAATTTTAGCATAGTTCCTAGGATATTGGTTGGCACTCAAAGGGTTAAAAATTAGGCCAGACAGCAGACTCCAAAGTGAGACTGACTGAATTAAAATCCTAGCTATGGACCTCAGGCAAGTTACTTAACTTCCTAGGTCCCGGTTTTCTCATATGTAAACTGGGGATAGAAACAGCTGTTGTGGGATCTAAAAGAGCCAAAAATTATAAATTGCTAAAAAAGGGCCATACACATAGTAAGAACAGCATGTCAGCTATCACCAGTATTATTATT